TCTATCACTATACTACATAGAAGATCTGCCTTGACATGTCCACACAGATCAGTATTTACCATGCCTCTGTTGCCTCTAGAATGAACTGCAGTGTACTCTACAGAGGGCGAAATTGAAGCTGGTGCTGATTTCAATCACTGGCTTGTTACCCTGAGAATCCTGTTGTTAGAATATGAGAGCAGTGCTCAGTGATCTGCATGTTGGCCGTCTAATGGCTTCCGAAGTGGAATGAAAGGTGTTGGGTCTGACATACAGAACTCACAGTAGCCTGAGATCATCCTACCTGAGAAAGGTGGCACCTCTGTCTGTTGATTTGGAGAACAGCAGTGGTGCTTATGCTCAAGTGACTTTGTTATACTGTACAAGAGAGAGAACTAGAACTAACAGGGTGTTTTCTGTGTTATTCCCATTTCTTTGGGATTCACTTTTCCCCATCTGAAATAGCTTGAATCTACAGACCATGGGTTCCCAAACTGGGGGGCATGCCGCCCCGGGGGGACGTGAAGAAATTCCAGGGGGGTACAAGGCAAACTAGCCTCCTCCGCCCCCATCAAGTTCTGCTGCCCTGTTCAGTTCCTTTTTTCCATTTTTTTTTTTTTTTTTGCTCAACAAGTTTTGCTGCTATTTGGGGGGGAGCAGGGGAGCGTGAGGTTTTTTTTCAAAAATCAAAAAGGGGGGCGTGATGCCAAAAGGTTTGGGATCCACTGCTATAGACTGTCCAGATACATCACAAAGCTCATCTGTTTGAAGAGGCATCCTGGGAGAAGAGGAACATGAAGGGTGGGAGATGCTTTATATGTGCCAACTGGTGGGGGTTTGTGACGTGGTGGAGGTGCTGTCTGCTCTGTAACCCAGGGTTCCCCCATGCTGTGATGTGTGATACACATGAGGGTGAGTCAGTGGGAATTGGCCCAGACACCTAGTCCCTGCCTGAGCAGACAACAATTCTCCTCCCAGGGGGAGAGACAAAGGAAGGGAGGCAGAGATGGCCACCTGGCTGGGGGGCAGTGCCTGGGAACTGGGCAGTTTTTTGGCTGGAAAACCATGGAGAGAACAGACTAAGCAGAGTGCTGGGAGCTGCCAGCCCCTGACTCTCTATGTCCACATCACGTCTATGCTGTATCCTGGAGAAGCAATAAATCCTTCCTATTTTACTGGCTGGCAGTCTCATCTTGCTGGAGATGGGGTGCAGGATCGGGGGGGAGGTCCCCGACGCACCGTCACAGGGATGTTTGTTTTTCCTGGAGTGGTGTAGAATGGAGCGGAGTGACCAAAATGTTTCTGGGGCCTCAGTTTAAATGATGAGATTTTGCTATTATACTTTTCAGTTAGTTGAATGGATGCACCTGGAGACCACATCCAAATAAACAACTGCCTGCCATCATTCAAGTGCAACTTTTTGCTTCCTCTCAAATTTTGATATTGAGATAGGTGTGACCAATAGAGAGCTCCACCAGTAGTGGAGCTGGAGCGAAAGTGGCTGACTGCTTCTTACACTCAAATGGATTTCATTTTTGCATTGTATTTATTTAGAAAAAAATGTTTAGAGTTGATTGTGTTCCTCCTTGGACACAATCCCATGCCCTCCTGGGAACAGTAGCATTCAGTTTCCTGGTTCTCTAAGGCCAGCATCTGAACTGGTTTCAAGTATCCACGGACATTCCCTCTTGTTGCAATCAGTGGCTATCTGTGTAACTTCCACACTCACAGTAAAAATGCATGAGACCCTTCAGCCCTCTGGATCAGGTGAACTCAGCAACTTTAATCTAAAAAGCAACGCCAACGTTGTACCATCGGCAAAAGGAAATTACTGAGAGTGAGGGAACATCCAGTTCAAAGACCCAACCTGTTTCCAAAAGCAGAGCTTTGAGGTTGTATTCCCTGCAATTTTATATTTAATATCATACTGCATGAGCGCATCATTTTTCCTACATGTATATGAACTGGCAATACCAGCTGCACAGGTTTTCCCAGGCATAGTTTAAGGGATCTTCCCAAATCTCTGCCAATGGAAGCTTGGATTGGAATTGCTAAGGTGGAATGGGAGTGATTCTGTAGGTCACATGGCTGCCCATTTCCCTACCACCTTCACCACTTAGCACTTAATGTGGCTCCTTCTCAAGTCAATGGGAGCAAAATGTCAGTTCTTAGGCACTAGGATAATCTCTTATCTCTCTGGAAGAGTCATTAATCTTTATGGCTCATTATAAATAATTCAATTTATTCTATTACAAGAGTTCTGTGCTTTTCAATCACTGAAATAAAGGCATGAGAGCTCAATCTCTCATTAGAAGAGGGCCCAGTTTAGAACCACATTTACTCTAATCACACAGACCTGCCATTAATCCAATAAGTTATGGTGAATTGTTGACATCAGAAGTCATTGAATGGATGTCACAAACACTTGTGTGAAGAAACTAATCAGGAACCATGTTAAATTTCCTTGCTCGGTTATCATTTTGCCCTGTTGAAACATCTGGGCCCCATCCAAGTTGTGACATACAAGAAAAGATGTAGAATTAATCACTTAGAACAAAGTACAGCATGTACGGCAAAGGAAAGCCAGCAGTACAGTCGAGTAACTGGTTGGGTTAGTCTCCATGAAGAATGGTCATTTGAGTCCGATTCCGACTTGCTGGCACAGATACGAAGGGTTTTCACACACAATCCAACATGACCAACAGACTGAAGCTGAAACCTATTCAGGTTTGTACCGTCACTCCCCGACTTACGAACACACCGACTTACGACCATCCATACTTACGACTAACCTCCCATTAACCCCATTACAATATTTTTGAGTTGAGAACCGTATATGCCAAGTTTTTCGAACAGAGCGGGCAGCGTGTGTAAGGGTATCTCCAACTTACGACCAAATCGAGTTATGACCAAGTGTTCGGAACATAATCTGTTTGTAAGTTGGAGACTGCCTATATTTGGCATTGTTGTTTCTGAGACTCTCACAAATAGTAATTTATCTTCGCAATGCTCCCGCAAGGTTAGGAAGTATTAACCCCCATTTTAAAGAAGGGAAACTGAGTCAAGGAAAGAGTCTCTATGACCTTAAGCAATGACCAAGAGACTGATGCAAAGCCAACAACTGATGTACTGAAGACAGATCTCCTGAATCCCAATCCAGGGCCTTAACCAGACGACCACCCCTTCTCAAGGACGTCATCTACCAATCCCACGGAAGACATGACTAAGTGGTTCTCACTGCTCAAAATGCCCTACACAGAGAAAAATACTCCCTGCTGACTGCAATCCATTCATACTTTGAAATGAAAGAGCTGATTACACACAGCCTTAGCCTGATTAGCTATAAACATTACATGTCATGTGCTTTAGTTTCATCAAGTAACCCCTTTGTATTATGCCCCAAGCTGCCTTTAACTTGACCATTTAAGTTGCTAACCCTTTTCTAGGGAGGCTGTTCTTATAAAATATTGCACTTTTTCTCATTTGGATTTTTATTTACATGCACAGGGCCTATATTTTCACACCTATAAAATGGTGGAGGCCTACCTTTAACTCCAGAAAAAGCCCAGATTATCCAAAGGTGCTGACCCTTTGAAAAAAATCAGGACCTATTAAAGAGTCTCAACCTGGGCATAATCATCACTAATTGCTTGTGTAAATGTAGACAGAGGTAACTGCATCAGCTCTTTCTACTTTAGATGCATAGTAAGAGTTTATTTAAACTGTACTGCTGAGTAAGTTAGTCATTTCAGTTCAGAAGTACAGATGTGAACTCTATGCCAGACTAGTCCACCCTTTTCTTTCTGCGGCCCCATCAATAGGCTATATAAATTCTAGGGCCTTGCAAAGTACCGGGCTGGGGGCTTCACATTTCTGACCCAGAACCCAGCCAATCAAATGCTGGCCCTGCTTCATGAATCCCCTGAAAGGGGTTCACGGACCTCCAACTGAAAACCACTGCTCTAAGCCAAACACTGCAGTCTTCACACAGGCAAAACTCCCATTTAGGTCAATAAGTTTTGCCTTAATAAAAATGAAGAACTGAAAAATCCAGCTCAGTCCTTCTAGAATACAGGACCTTTTATCATCCAATAAGCCAGCAACAAGTTAGAACTAATTTTTTAAATTAAGAGTTGTTACTATGGCCATCTGAGGGCTCCCATATTTTTCCCTACTGAGGTTATTGAGTGGATAGAGAATGATGAAAAGAACATTGAATTGAACAGAAGGGCTACAAAATTCAAACAAAGTGTGTCCCTGCCCCATTCATACCCAGACAGGCATCCACGTAACATTTGAAAATTCTTTTGTTTCTTCAATAAAATTGAGAATTTTTATGTATCTTCGCTACTGATGGTGCTGTAACTATAGCCCCTCTTAATGTCACATTGAATGTGTGATCATGTGGCTCTATTCTAATGCTTGGTAATGTCAAGGTCACCACTGTCCCTATGTTCCACATCTATTTAGCTCCTGCACAGATGGTCACAGGAATGTTTGCTCTATAGTTGGATTCAAGTCCCAATAATGAGTCTCTACAAAGCTACAAAGAATATATATTTATTGCTTCTAGATTCTATTGAATGAGGTTGCTCAAGAGCAAACAGTTGTATAGTTTTTGTATCTTTCATGGCAGAAATACAAAAACACATCCTTTCTATTCTACCAAGTCTAGACAGGTAGGAAGCAAGACTGGTGCTGGGAATCAAATATGTTCACATCAAAGTAACTAGAAAAATATTCTATCTTGGCATCCACTGTTTGCCAGCCATTCCCTGACAGCTGGCCCAATGGACCTTTGGTCTGACCCAGTGTTGCTGTTTTTACATTCTTAAGCCTGGTAACTCACTGAGTGAACACAATATTAAACTTTAAAAGACAGAATAAATACTACATTTTTCAATGGGTCTCCAGTTCCTTTATATACCTCTGGAAAAACTGACCGGCATAAAAGGAAGATCACCATCACTTCTCCCCACACTGTGGTATAACAAACATTTAATTTTTGTTAATCTCCTCACCTTGTCACTGTTTCTGTATTTGCCCCATTTCTTCAACATCTTCAGCCATTTGTCCACTCGTTCAATCTCCTGCAGTTTTTGCTGAAAGAAAGAGTCAGTGCAAAACTCACATTACAGAAGAAGGGTCCTTGTGAAAGCACAAAACTCCTCATTCTCATTCAAGTTAACTGTATGATAATGGCATTTCCCATTTGAATCTGTGACAAGAAATAATTGAGGGAAAGTATGTACAGGGACAGAATTTCTACACGTAAGAGTGGGGAGGGGAACAACCTTGAGACACAGACAATTCTTTCAGTAAGAGAACTCCTTGATAGGAAACAGATAACTCTGGAGTTCATCCAGTCACAAATTTCCCCTGGGTTGTGTCTATCTGGTAGTATACAGATTCTACAGGGGATTCAAGCCCCGAGTCCTGATCTCAAAACTGGACATTCATGTTACCACTCAGAACAGACTAATCAGCTCCCTTGTCGTCACATGTCTGCAACTTTACCAACTGAGCTCAGTCATCCCTATTCATTCACAATTCAAGCATGTTATAGGGATTGTTATTTTCAAGTGAACTCTAGTTTATTTCCTGCAGCACTGCAGTTGATAAGAGGACACCACCAAGAACCTTTTAAGCTCCGATCTTAAAATAAAAGTGCACTTCATTATATTTTTAATTTTTTTTATTTGAGGCTATTAAATTTGTAGAGAAACATCCTCTAACTGCACAGTTCTCCTGCAGCAAATGGAACAATCTAGCCCCTCCTAAAATGATGGGATGTGATCTATTATCTAGTCTCAGCTGAACCAGATGTTTAGAAATACTGCATCTGAGTCGAGTTTTCCTAAGCTTCATTAATGTTTCAGAACAGGGGCTCCCAATACTTCCTTGTAGAATCTGCTCCTGACCCTCCTCTAACCTTTAGAACCTCCCTAAACCGGGACTCTAGTCTGTCTGGCAACACACATGGTCCAATAGGACCACCAATGTTCCTGGACTAGAGAGCCCAGATGGAGGGCTGGGTGGCCAGGCGCCCTGCCATAAGAATCCCACTGGGCTGGCAAGGTAGTTGGAACACCAACAGGCTCCAACAGGGCTGCAGGCTGCTGCAGCAGGATCACAAGCCCTGGCAGGGCCAGGACTTGGCAGGGCAGTGGAGCTGATGGGGAGGAAGCCAGCCAGGAGGCCAACAGCCGGGCTGGGGCGACAGAAATGACACACACACAGACACCCCGCTCTGGCAAAATCCCTCATTTGGAACCATCAGGGAAGTCAAACCTGCAGCACAAGTAGGTGGTTTAATACTCTCAGGGGATCAGAAACACAGAACAGCTTTAAGGACACATAAATGGGGACCAGGATATCCAAAGATTTTTCCTTTTTCATCCAATGAGGATCCAGTATTTAGGCTGAGATTTTCAAAGTCTCTGAGGCCCATCTGACTTTAAACTGCAGCCTGTTTAACTCTGTCACCATGTTCACAAAGAGCAAGAGGCAAAACAAAAGGCAACCACTCTCCCACAGCAGGGACTATCAATCTCTTTCCTACACACAAGTCTTCAATAAAGTTTTGTAATTTCACTGGAGCAAGAAAAACAAAAGCCTGGAACAGTGAAATAAAAATAACTAAAAATAATGAAACTGAAAGGGAAAGGAAAAAAGATTGGAAAGAAAAAAAATGGAACCATCCACTGGAAGATCTGATCAGGGCTGTTGTGAATATTTCTCTTCTGCTTCAAACTTTCACATTAAGCTTCTCATGTGTATCTGTCCAGAAACTTCACAGCATTTTCCTACTTTCCTCCAAGTCAGAACTGTTGCACCGGACTAGAGAAATTCCCCAGCCTCCCCCAGGTCCTACACCGAGATCAGCGGCCATACTGAGGAATCCACTGTTTTCCCCTGTGCCTTCTAGGCTCTCCTACCAAGCTCACATCTGTATCAACATCTGGGAGCATCTCTTCACTCAGCACTGACTTCCTGTAACTTTGTCGCTCCATTAGCTTCACAGCACCAGCTTAGGAAATGCGGGTTTTTATATATTTAGAGAAAATCTCATTAGTGGGCCATGGTGAAAGATCTGTATTTGCTGTTTAAAAGGCAGGCCCAATCATCTCTCCATTTAGCACCATGGGTTTGCAAAATGTGATCCACGTAGGTAGTAAAGTTGACAGCTCTTACCTTCTCTTCCAGTGCGCTGCGGGTCGGTAGCTCATGCTCACTGAAAGATTAAGAATTTGATTGACTCACCAAGCAAAAGGGGTTTGGAACACAATACAGTGTACAGTACAAACAAGAAGTCTTAAACTGACCAAACCTGAAGGACCAAGAAAAAAATAGAGCTGATCAGCAATTTTCTATCAATGTTTTTTCAAAAGAAAAAGACCCCACAGTTTCCACAGGAAACCTTTTGATTTTGTAAAAATTTTGATTTCTGTTGGAAAAATCAAAACAAAGTATTTAATTTCAGCTCAGGTCAACAATGCAAAAGTTTTGTTTGTCAAATCAAATCAACATTTTTTATTTCCAAGTCATTTTGCCATTGCACTGCATCTGCCTGAGCTGTTGTGGTGCCTCATGGGAGTTGTAGTTCAAGTACCTCATCTTCCACGTTCTTCTACCAGAGGGGCTCAACATCTTCAAACTGCTGCAGTGCATCATGGGAGCCCCATGCTGGGAGATTCAATCCAACAGGCATTCCAGCCCACACAGAACCGGGACATGAGGCTCCTGAACTACATCTCCCATAAAGTACTACATCTGCTTGCACAGATGCGGTAAAATGCCGAAATAACCTGAATGTTTTGACTTGGGTCAACAAGCCAAAATATTTCAACCTGGGAATGTTGAAAAGTTTACTACTCATCAAAAGTGTCTGAACAAGATATTTTAACATCACATTTTCACTGGCCTGGATGCAGGAGAAGATCACTACCATTCCTTCTGAGACATTTCGGATTGAGCAAACAGAGCCATATAGCTGTCTACACACAGACTGCTGGAGCTGTTACAGGGTATCCTCCTGCATGGAGCATATAACTGCACCACGTCCATCTCATTGAAGGGTGGCAGAACAGAGTAATGAGTAACTTACTGCAGAAATCCAAATCTGTCTGTGACTTTATAGAGCGCGAAATCAGCATCCTCCCATGGGTCAATCTTAGCTCCTTCCTGCCTTCCCTGCAAAGCAAAAGAAGGCACAAGAGTCAGAACTAAAGGGAACACAAGTGTGAGGCCATCAGCATGTGCACGTTTGTCTCTAGCACTTGGAAGCTGGTACTGCATCACAGAATCATAGAACACTAGAACTTAAGGGACCTCGAGAGATCATCAAGTTCAGTCCCCAGTCCTTGTAGCAGGAGTCAGACCATACATTGTATAGATCATCCCTGATAGATGTCTGTCTAACCTGCTCTTAAATATCTCCAGTGATGGAGATTCCACAGCCTCCCTAGGCAATTTATTCCAGTGTTTAAACTCCCTGACTGGAAGTTTTTCCTAATGTCCAACCTAAACTTCCCTTGCTGCAATTTAAGCCCATTGCTTCTTGTCCTATCATCAGGGGCCAAGGAAAGTAATTTCCCCCCCTTCTCCCTGTGACACCCTTTTAGATACCTGAAAAACGCAATCATGTCCCCTCTCAATCTTCTCCTTTTCAAACTAAACAAGCCCAATTCCTTCAAACTTGCCTCATAGCTCATGTTTTCTAGACCTTTAATCCTTTTTGTTGCTCTTCTCTGAACCTTCTCCAATTTCTCCACATCTGTCTGGAAATGTGGTGCCCAGGACTGGACACAATACTACAATTGAGGCCTAATGAGTGCAGAGTAGAATGGAGGAATGACTTCTCGTGTCTTCCTCATAACACTCCTGTTAATGCATCCCAGAATCATGTTTGCTTTTTTGCAACAGTGTCACTTGTGGCCCACTATGACCCCTAGATCCTACCCAGACAGTCAATTTCCATTCTGTATGTGTGAAACAGATTGTTCCTTCCTAAGTGGAGTACTTTGCATTTGTCTTTATTAAACTTCATCCTGTTTACCTCAGGCCATTTCTCCAGTTTGTCCAGATCATTTTGAATTTTGACCCTGTCCTCCAAAGCACTGGCAACCCCTCCCAGCTTGCAATCATCCACAAACTTTATGAGCATGCTCTCTGTCCCATCATTTATATTATTGATGAAGATATTGAACAGAACCAGTCCCAAAAGACCCCTGTGGAATCCCACTTGTTATGCCCTTCCAGCATGACTGTGAACTGTTAAAAGCTATTCTCCGAGAACAGCTATCCAGCCAGTTATGCACCCTGATTGACAGCCCTGGTGATTAAAATTCACTTAATCTACAGAACTGATGAAGCACATGCCTCAATCATGCAGACTTCTCCTCTACACGGTCCTGCTGCTGTGTGTCAACCCTGAACTGGGAAGGCCAAATTTGGTAATATATTAGCTTTAATTCCACCTTCAAGCCAATTTGCTCTCCATGCTGAGACAGTCACTTTCTTGGTCACAGGATTTGTGGTATGTGTCAAATGATGCGGTCTGAATGAGAAAAAAACTGGGAGCCCAAGAGCGAAAGGAAAAATGGGTTGGTGATGAAACTTCTCCACTTTGGCTCCATATTCTTAGTAATTGCCATAGACCAACCCTTTTTGACCTTGTTCAGGTACAATCGGTAGAGCCTATGTTTGGATACCTGTCGGAGGCCACTAAGCCCGTCTGCTGAACATGCAACACAGATGACTAACACACAGTCATGTTACCTGCATCCCTAAAAAGTTCTGCAGGAAGAAAAAAAAGATTGATTTGTGTAGTTTGTTACTGGCATGAGGGCAGAATG